GTTCCCATCTAGTTTTCTTAAAAACTAGCAAACATGGTCTTTTTTAGTCAGATTCCCAAGACTAAGTCGAGCATGTTCTTTATAAAGTAGTAGCCATAAATCATAAATTGCACGATGCACATCTCCACTAGGATGCGTCTCAAGAGTCAATAGAAAATTATCTAAAGACCCCCTACTCAGGTCATCCTTAATGATTAATATTTTATCTTCACGGTTTACAGATATTATTCCTAAAAAATGACATTGTACATTGCAAGTCCATCTGGCACATCAATGGCAAACTTTCAATTGTTTTGCACGACGTTTCTTTGTAAAAGTGCTTTTACCTGTTCCAAGCATGTGTGAAATGAAAGAATTGGAAGACTCACTTGATAATCGAACATTTGCTTTAATTAACCAGCGAATCTCTTCAGGAATTCCATGGTTCATTAACAACCTCAATCTTGCATACCTAGCTCAGTAAATTTTTGTAATCGTATTGTAAGGCAAAACAAGAAAATACTTTTTCAATTTTTCAAAAGTGGTGTCCATTTTATAAGATAAGAAGTGGAAAAGAGATGCAAAAAGAAGATAAAGAACAAGGAATTGAATAAATAGATACACATATATTAGTTATCATGGAAAACTGAAAGAATCGACTTAAGAGTCATAGAGTACCGTTATCTGCCATTTAACCTGGGTGAGAGAGACTAGCAAACCAAGAGTCATAAAAAAAAATAACAAACAAAGGGTCATAAAAAAAAAAAAAACAAAACACAAAAACAATATGAGAAAACAAAATAATCAACCTTCATCTATAGGATCATTCAAGCTAGTGAATTCATTTGCACTAGGAAAATTATCAAAGTAAGCTTTCAAACGATGTCCATTTATCTCAAAAATATTGTTATTCTTTGGATTCTCAATATCAAAAGCCCTATAAGGATGCACATGTTTCTTAATAAATGGACTAATCCATCTTGATCTTAGCTCTTTAGGGAATAAATGAAGTTGAGAATTATAAATCAAAAATTTTTTACCAGTATTAACTTTTTAATAATTTTCACATCTGTTTTTTTTTTTACAAGAAATGACTCCTATATGCTTTAGAATGACAAAGTTTAATGACACT